TTTCTCTAGTTGCGGTGAGCGGGGGCTACTCTTCATTGCGGCGCGCGGGCTTCTCTTGTTGCGGAGCATGGGCTGTAGGTTCACAGGCTTCAGTAGTTGTGGCACGTGGCCTCAGTAGTTGTGGCTCACAGGCTCTAGAGCACAGGCTCGGTAGTTGTGGTGCACAGGCTTAGTTGCTCTGCGGCATGTGGGATCTTCCCGGACCAGGGCTCAAACCTGTGTCCCCTGCATTGACAGGCAGATTCTTAGCCACTGCGCCACCAGGGAAGCCCAGGAGAACGTTTTTTCACAGTCACCCTTGGCAAAATGGATTTATTCTGCAAATCAAGAATCCTAGCTCATAAAGGTGAGCGTCTTGAGGGCTCCTTCCTCAAAGGGTAGCACTCAGCGCTTCCCTCCTTGCTAATCTGACTCTGCCTGCTTGGCAGGAGAAGCAATCTGGTCTTCATGTTAATACTTTATAAACACAAACGTCCTACAAGATAAACATCAGTCTATTACACCTGTTCGGTTGAAGCGTGCCTGCTTGTTACCGAAGGCTATTTGGGCCTGATTCGCTCACGATATAACTTCTTCCTGCTGGAGGCCAAGGTGCAGATCGTAGGCATCTTATTGAGTGGAGGGGTTAGGTGGGGAGCAAGTGGGTTAGGGTGGGATGAGCAAGAGACATTTTACTCCCATCCTCTAGGGCTCAAGCTTTCTGCTTCCTAGAGGGGACAGAAAGGCATGGGGTCCCTCAACAAGAGTTGCATGGACCATGGGCCAATTTGCCACCAGGACAGGAATTCAGGAACAAGGCAGGGCACACTCCAACACCTGGCTAGTTTTAGTTTAAGTTATGAAAGAATGCTGAGTCTACTGTGGGCAGGTATTAGGTAAGCCCTGCCCAACCAGCCAGCCTTTCTGAAAACAGGCTGGAATCTTGCTCTGCCACGTCCTAACTCTACGCTCTTGGAATATGACACATCTGTCTTTTTATCTATTAAGTAAGAATCCTGATGCCGACCTCCCAGGGCTGGAGATAATAGAGGTACCGAGCTAACGTATCACTGAATACATGATTGACGTTACTACTGTTAGAACAATTCTATTTCTTTTTATAGGTATACTTTATAGTAAAATACTACAGTAAGATACAGTAAAACCTCAAGCAAACAACTCAATGCATTTTACTTATTACACACCCAAATGAACCACCATCCAAATGAAAATATAAGCCATTCCCAACACCCCAGATTGTTCCCTCGTGCTCCTCTCCAGTCACTGCCCCCAACCCCAAGGATAACCTCTATTCTGGCTTTTCCATCCTAGATTAGCTTTGCTTCTTCCTGACCCTCCTATACAAACAGAATCACGCAAGAGGTGCCCTTTTGTGTCTGGCTACTTTTTTCTCAGTACAATGCTTTTGACATTCATCTATGTATTGCCTTTATCTGGAGTTTATGCTGTTAAAAAATGTTTCCTGGGTAGTATTCTGTTGTACGAAATACCACAATTCATTTATCCATTCGACAATTAAGGGACATTTAGGTGGTTTCTAGTTTGGGGATATTATAAATAAAACCTATGGTTGTCATTAAAATATTAATCCTAGACCCAAGGGACAACTGGTCAACCCCTTTCTTCCCCTGGGAACTGATCCCCGTCCTTGGCCAGCTCCGGGCAGAGAAGCCCTCTGTTGTGTTATGAAGAAAATGAGTTTGCCCTCAGCATGCCCACGCAGCCCTCTGCACCCTTGCCCTTCCTCCCAGGGGCACTCGGGTCATCCCTTAAGAGTCTTGGCCACTTACATGTCTTTGATGTGAATGCTTTTCCCCCACTGTTCTCCTAGGGGCATGTTGAAGACAACCTCTGACACCCCCCATGATAAATGACATGACATTTGATCCCGCTTTGCTTTTTACAAATGTACACATCCTTCTGGTCTGGCGGGAAGGACAACAGCCCTATTTTTCAGGTAGGAAAACTGAAACAAATTGATTCATCCACTTGTTCACTCACTGGACAAATATTATTTTGTATGAAACCCTTGCTAGTTACTGGGCCAGGCATGAGCCATGAATTGACCTGGTGGGAGATGCATAAACATAGGATCACACCCCCTGCCAGATTCTTCCCACTTTTGCATCTTCTAGCACTGAGTGCCCTTGTAATTTACCAAATCCACTGCTTGCTTTCTGCATGATTAATCTTAGCTCCCTGGTGAGATGAAGTTTTCTGTTGCTAGTTTTTTTTTTTTTTTTTAATCCTTCCATAATACACAACACTCTTAGGAATACAGAAGTGTTTAATAAATGCTCTGAAAGAGTGTAATAGAGACTGGTATTGTCGACTTGACTTCATAACTCCAGACTTACAAGTTCCACATTAGAGAGGCTTGCACATACCCAAATAGCTTTCTGGCAAGTACAGCTAAATCATATATCACACGTGTGTAGGTCAAAGAGATTCAAGGTCCAAGAAGGACTCAGCATGCCCTTGCTGGGTGCGAAGAAAACATGCCAGCTGCCTTTAGGAGCAGAGAGTAACCCCCATCGACAGCCAGCAATCAAACACGGACCTCAGTCCTACACCCACAAGGAAATGATTTCTGCAACATCCCTAACAAGTTTGGAAGTGGATTCTCACCCCGGGGGCCTCCAGATGAGAGCCCAGTTAGTTAACCCCTTGGTTCTGACCTTGTGAGACCCTGAGCAGAGAACTGAGCCTGGCCCACAGGGACTTCTGACCTACAGAAATGTAAGGTTAGAGATGGGTGTAGTTTTAAGCTGCTGAGTTTGTGTAATTTGTTGTGCAGCAATAAAGGCTAATATAACATGTTTAGCTGAGACTGCAGTAGCCAGGAATCTTTTTGAAGCATCAATCAAATTGTGCCACTCCCCTGCTCCAAGCATGTTAATAGCTCCCATCACACTGGACAGCCAGAGCCAAAGCTGTCTCATGGTCCAGAGAAGTCTGGCCTGGCTCTCACTACCTTGCTTCTTACCACTCCCTCCCTCTCACTCCATTCCAGCCAAACTGACCTCTTTGCTTTTCCATAAACATCACAAGCTCACTCCTACCTCAGGACCTTTGCACTTACTGTTTCTCCTTCCTGGAATACACTCATCCCAGCTATGCACATGGTTTGCCTATTCATTTCAGTTTGATCTTTGCTCACTGTCCTATCCCCATGGATACCTTCCTTGACCACCCAGTCTAAAATTCTCCAAAATTCCCACTTAGCATCTCTCTCTATCCCTAAAATTGCTTTATTTTTTATAACACTATTTCTCTGCTTAACAGTATATTTTAATTTATCCCTTTGTTTATTACCAATTATATAGACTCCTACCCCACCATGTCATTCATTGTTTGGAGAGGATCCATGGGCTGGCTCACTTTAGATGACCTTAGGATGATTGAGAATGAGTTAATAGCAGCAACAAGGACCCCTAGGAGGGGATGGACTTCCTCTGCTTTATTCACTGCAGTGTCTCCAGTACCGAGAACAGTACCTGGGAATCATCAATATTTAATAGTGTTTATGATGAGTCAGGCATTGCATTGGGTACCGTCTATTGCTTTAATGAAAACAACAAATCCACACCACCATTCTTTAACATTGACAGGCCATCTTACAGAGCAAGATTTTAAAGAACTCCCATAGGTAGGATTTTGTACCTTTCTCACTAATCCTTAACAGTCAGCATTCATAGTTTCCCTAACTCTGATCCTGGGCTACATTTTGATTAGAATCCTTCGTAAAGGTCACCTTGATTCACTTGTCCCCTGGTTCCAATTGGACTGTAGGGTTTCAGGGGAGCTTGGAATCCAAATGCTCGAGCAGCATCTCCTGGCTACAAGACCTGGAGTTGTATTTTATTTCCAAACCGATTCTTGTGATTACTTCCTTTCACAATGGGCTGCTTGAGTCATGCTGCCATAGCTTCACTTGCTCAGAGCCCCCATCTCCATCCTTCTCCTTGTCAGCAAGATAAGAGGGAGTTGGGGAAAGACCTGGATGACAAATGTCCCCTGTATAAACTGGATGGTTTCTCCACTGAGAAGGTAACTTCCCACTGGGTTCTGGAAGAAGAGACACAGCCCTATTCTTAGCAATATTTTTATCTTGAATGACTTCTCCCTTTGGTGATTTCAAGAGTAACATTTGCTTATTGTAGGAAATAAATAATACAAGAAATTGTACAGAAAAAAAAAAAAATCCCCTCTTGTAAACAACCGCACAGAAAAAGCCATTGTTACTATTCTGAAATTCTCTCTCCCTCTCTTTAACATGACTCGGAGATCCTAGTATCACTTGACATGAAAACGCAAATTCTCTTATGCCCAATTGTGAAGGTTAATTTTATGTGTCAACTTGAATGGGTCATGGGGTGCCCAGATTACGCATTATCTCTGGTTGTGTCTGTGAAGGTGTTTCCAGATGAGATTAACATTTGAATCAGTGGACTCGGCAAAGGAGATCACCCTCCCCAAAGTGTGTAGCTATCAACCAATCCATGAAGGGCCTGAACAGAGCAAAAGGCAGAGGGAGGAGGAATCTGCCCCTTTTTTTCCTACCTCACTGCTTGAGCTGGGACATCTCACCTATCTTCTCTTGCTCTGGGACTGGGATTTACATCATCAGCTCCCCTGGTTGTCAGGCATTTGGACTTGGACTAAATTATACCACTGGCTTTCCTGGGTCTCCAGCATGCAGACAGCAGATCGTGGGACCTCTCAGCTTCCATTATATATATATATATATATATATATATATATATATATATATATATATATATATATTCTGTTTTTCTGGGGAACCCTGACTAATACAGATTTTGGTATCAAGAGTGGTTCTAGAGGAAGAGAATTTTAAAGACGAGTTTTCTGAATTCGTTCTGGGGTTTCTGGAATTGGCTCTCCAATCTGATTAGATTTAAAGATGCTAATGACTCTATTTCTGTCCTAGTCAGTTCAGGCTGCTATAACGGAATGCCATAGACTGAGTGACTTACAAACAACAGAAATTTATTTCTCACAGTTCTGGAGGCTGAGACATCCAAGATCAAGGTACTGACACATTCAGTGTCTAGTGAGGGCCCACTTCCTGCTTCATAGACAAATGTCTTCTCTGTGTGTCCTCGTGAGGGTGAGGCAGCTCTCCTGGGTTTCTTTTATTAGGTTGCTAATCCCATTCATGAGGACTCCACCCTCATGAACTAACTACCTCCTAAAGGCTCTACCCCCTAACACACTGGGGTTTAAGATTTCAACATATGAATTTTGGGGAGACACAAACCTTCCGTCCATAGCACCAACATCATAATAATCTAAAACTTTTCCAGACTAGCCGAGAGAACGAGAGATTTCGTAAATCCTCTCAGATCCTGTATCTCCAACCTCAGTCTATATTTTAAAAAATTTAAAAGGGGTTTTTGAAAACCCAAACTGTAAGGAGAACATCTGCACCTATGAAGTAGTTTCCGCTGTGGGCTATACACTCCCCAGCTCAACGGGGAGGCAGGATGCAGCCCTGAGAGGTCACCTTGTCCATCCCCCTGCTTCCAGACTGAAACCAGGCCACTTTTTTCCATTCTTTAAAGGACTTCCCTCTAGTTCCTCTTCTGGCCCCACCCTTTGTCTTTCTTTTCAGAACTGAGAGAAACCAACTCATGCTCCAAAGGCAATTAGACACAGATTGCCTCGTCTGCATGTTTGTAAACTGGATGCCTCTCCCACTTGACTCAACCATCCCCAGGCCTCCTCCCCTTCATCTCCCCTCCATCCCCGAGCCTGTGCTCAGAGATGTCAAACCAACAGGCCCAAGCAATTGTAACTCAGGGAGTAAATCAGTGGCCAAATAAAAGAAACACATACACACCACAGCCAAATAGGGACGCTTGTGTGCCATTCATTGTTTGGAGAGGATCCATGGGCTGGCTCACTTTAGATGACCTTAGGATGACTGAGAATGAGTTAATAGCAGCAACAAGGACTCCTAGAGCAGTCGACCATGGTTGTTAAGTGCAGGTACTCTGGAGTCCAACTACCTGGGTTCATATCCCAGCTCTGCCTTGGGCAAGTGACTGTATCACTCTGAGCCTCAGTTTTCTCTTCTGTAAAACAGAGATCATAATAGGGTCAGAGGAGTTCATATTCTCAGAGCAGTGCTGGGGACCTGGTAAGCCTTCCACATCATAGGGCTTTTAGGATTGTGCTGTTATCATGTACTAAAGGCTGCCAGATGCCTTACCTCTGGCGTATGGACACTCTCCAGTCCCAATAGGACAAGGGCTGGTCACAACTTGCAGATAAAGGAAACAAGGAGCAGTAGTCGCCCAAGTGTGGCCCAGGTGAAATCCTGCTCATTTTCTGATTCCGTAGGGCCCACCAGCTAAGAAGTGATTTTTATATTTTTAAATAGTTTTTATATTTTTAAACAGTTATGTAAGTACTCACATAGTATGTTCGATTTCACCTCTTGGCCTGCAAAACCATCTGGCCCTTTACAGAAAGTTTGCCAACCCAAGGCTTTGAAAGGGTTAAAGGCTGGGAGTGGGATTCTGACCTCCAAGCTTGTCCTCTTTCATATAGCCTCTGTTGCTTCGCTTTTGAGTGAATGTATGTCTTTCAGCTCAGACTGAAGGATATTCAAATACTATTCATTCATTCAACAACTACTTATTAAGGGTGAGAGGCAGAGGAGGAGACACAGGCCAGCTCACTGCTGGATGCCTGCAGCCTCGCCCCACTTAGCCTTGCAGCAAGCAAAAGGTCTCTGGTAAACCCAGACTGATCAGAAAACACCTCCAGTGACTGACATCTGACGTCCTCCAGAGAAAGCCCGCCTACCACCCACGCAGAAGCTCAGTAGCTTCCAGATCCCACTGTCACATGCCTGGCCACAATGCGTTCTGTTTCCTCTCAAATTCTCTGGAATCCTGAAGAGCAGCAGGAATGGTGGCTCTGGTCCAAAGCCCAGCCCAGTAGGTCCACCAGATCAGGCCCAGAGTCCTCTCCCTGGGGTGACGAGGGCTCGGGTGACCCATGCTCTACAGCCTCCCTGGGCACCATTTTTGGTGTCTGTCCATTTCTTGGGCTTTATAGTGGTCTAGCAGGTGTGCAGCTCCAATCAGAAATAACATAGTCACGTAGGCGTGGAGAAGGGCCACCTAAAAGTAATGCAAGTGGTCATTCAGTGAACAGGAAAGCCAACAGCTGTGAGTTTTGGTTCCTAGCGCTGGCCTTGGGCCATCTCCGCCCCAGCCTCCGCCCCATGGGCGGTGAGATGGCGCAGCTCAGCTATTTTGAATACTTGGAGGTTTATGATAGGCTTCGGAAAATATGGGTGTTTACAGCCTTATTCTCATCGTGGGAAAACTGACATTAGGAAAGTACACGGTAGAAATCTTATGTACTTTCCAGAATGTAAACAGAGTTAAAAGTGAAATTGTCAGGAGGCAGCAGGGCACTCAGCGGTGGGAGACGAGCTGGGCAGGCCCGGAATGGAATTTTCCAGTCGGTCGGTGCTCTCCTGGACTACCTTGGCCGCTCTTGGGGTGAAAGGAGGGAGGGAGGGGTCAGAGAGGAAGGGAGGTTTGAGGTCATGGATTTAGCAGGGGAGTTTAATCAAAATTGGAGGCCAGAAATAAATGATTCTACTTCCAGGGCACAGAAATGGACGCCTGGGTCTTCTGGAGACCTCTCGCTGCTGACTGCTAGGAGGTTCTAACAGAAAAGCTTAGACTTAGCTGTAAAAGTTACAATCTTGGGGGTGGGGTGCCAGTGAAAACGGGCAGATTCTCATGCCTTGATCAGGGGAGAAGCGGGCCAGGCCCCAGGTATACAGCCCCCTTGTTATTTCCTTGAGAGTCTCAGCCCCTGGATACCCTGGGCCAATTCTGATGTCCATTGTCAGTCAATATGAAGAAGTAATTGGGACGAGAAGGCTGAGTCATTGTGGCTGCTGCCTGCTCAGCTGGGCTGAAGACCCCACTGGGAAATTTCTGGTTGACAAATTTCTCTAGCTCTTTAAAATTCCAGCGACAATTGTGTGCCTAGGTAGGAAAGCCTTCCCTTCAGCAAAATCCTTAAAATGTCCTTGTTGCTGGATTAACCCTGTGAGCCACAGTTCTGATTTCACCATTCCCTCTGCTCTACAACCTTCACTGGCTCCCCAGTGTCTGCAAGATCAAGTCCGTACACCTTAGCCTGGCCCTTCCAGGTGTCTGTCCAGCTGCCCTTAGAGCCACATCCCCAAAGAGCTCCATCCCCCCAGCACACACTCAGTCGCCGACCCAGCCACCCAGGGCTGCCCACCCACTCCAGGACGGCTCAAGAGCACTTCCTCCTCCAGCCCTTTGCTCAAGCTGCCCCCTCTGCCCACAACGCCCTTCTCATCCTTCTGCATCCTTCCAGGCTCAGCAACTGGTCCCTTGAGAGCCTTCCTGATTACGCTTCTCCCTAGTGTGGAAGAGACACTGTATCTTTGCTTGCATGAATGCCCATCTCTCTGACATGGCCCCCCGTCTCCTGTGAACACTATTATCTATTTACACACCCATCTCGGGCTTAGAACAGGCTGAAGCAGCAGGGGAGAGAATGGGGTTATGCATTTACCGCAGATCCCTCATGTGGGCCGTGGTAAGACATGAGATGACGCACGTGCAACTGAGCAGGTGAGCTGAGTGACCAAAGCTGCTTCCAAGGATAACGGGGGTCCTCATCACCTGAGTTAGGAAGGCTTGGCCAAAGGGTGGTACTGTGTCCCCCCAAAATATATGTTGAAGTTCTCATCTCCAGGACCTGTGACCTTATTTAGAAAGAGGGTCTTCGCAGACACAATCAAGTTAAGATGAGGATGGGCTCAAATCCAATATGACTGGCTTCCTTAGAAGAAGAGGAAGATTTGCACGCAGAGACACAGATGTACAGAGTGAGGATGCCAGGTGAGGATGGAGGCAGGGATGGGAGTAACGCATCAACAAGCCAATTATGCTAAGGATTGCTGGCGACCACCAGAAGCTGGAAGAGGCAGGGGAGGACCCTTCCCTAGGGCTGTAAGAGGGAGCGTGGCCTGGACAACACTTTGATGTTGGACTTCTGGCCTCCAGAACTGCAGGGAATAAATGTCTGCTGTTTTAAGCCACTTCGTTATGCCAGCTCTGGAAATTAATGCAGGTAAGATGGAAAGGAGGAAACCCGTTTACCTACTAGGCTCCAGATAATTCGTGTCCATAATCTCATTTAAATTCATTTTGTCTGGGACGCAGGTGGCTTTTTTATTTTATAACAAGCTGACCAAGACCCAGAGAAGGGACGTGACTTGTGCACAAACCCACAGTTAGGAAGAGGCAGAGGTGGGATTTGAACCCAGAACCAATGCGAGACTTCCCCCTGCCCCACACCTGACGGAGTCTCAAGGAGTCCCTGGCCAGGAGGGGAAGCAGCAGAACCCATGAGTGTGAGTCGCCTTTGCCCGGGTCTCTGGAGCCCCGTAGAACTGTCCTCACCTATCTTTCCTGTTCTCCGGCAGCAGACAATGCAGTTACCTGGGGACCAGTTCCTGTGGGATCTGCTGCCCAAGTATGAGCCCAGGAAGCTCAAGCATCTTATCTGATGAAGCAGGGAGGGGCGGCTGGCTCCCCATAAACTTTGCCCGTTTGTTAACATGTGTTCCAAGCTGAGATTACCCGGCGTGGAGCAGACAATGGAGACGATTGAATAAAGTCGGGAGTGTTGTGGCTGTGACTGCCTGAAGTGAAAGATAGTGAAGGAGGGGGATCTAGGGTGCTGGGGAGGGAAGAAGGGGGGCCGCTGCCCGCTCCCTCTGGGCTCTGTTACCACAACCACAGGAAAGTGGCACAAGGCACAGTTTCCCATCACGCAAAGGCAACATCGCCAAATAAGAGACCCAGGGAGTCAGTGGGTCCAGGATGCTGAGAACTTCAGAGTCAAGAGGATGCTCTACGTGACAAGCCCTCTGGGAGATGTCTCAAGGGGTGGTGCCCAAGCTGTACTCAGCAGACCTAAGGGATCTGAGGGGGCAGTCCCGGGCACAGGGGAGTCCCACAACAATCACTACTGTAACGGGGACCTTTGTGGAGGTTTTACTCCGTGTCAAGCACATCTTTTGTCTTATTTAAGCTTCACCGAGTTCTAGCATCATCCCCATTTTACAGATGATGAAACAGAGGCTTGGAGAGTCAAGTAATTTAAACCCATCACCTGACAGGTAAGTGGCAGGAGAGATTTAGGGGCATCTCCTAGATGGGGTGCGGGTCCCAAACCCACTCTTTAACCAGAGCAGCTCCCTTTTTATCTGTTTGATATATTAGGGTGCTTCTCAAGTCGTATGTAAAAAAAAAGTTTGCTTTAGAACAAAGGTCTACTTTTTTCACCTCACTTACAGGCTTTGAGACACAGAGCAACCACACTGGGTCCGGCATCCTTCCTCTCCACAGCTGAGCTGACAGGCACCCCAGGAAAGCTGCAGCTGGGCCCCCCCGATGCCACAACCTGCCGTCTTCTGCCCGTGTTGTCTGTCTGCTTCTCCGCCCCGCGTGCTGCTGCCTCACACCCTGCTTAGCCCCTCGGGATTCTCCACCTGCATCAGGCTTCTGCTCACTCCGAGATGCTCCTCTCCCCCTACATGGACCACCAGCCTTGCACCTGGCCCACACCTGATGTGGCAACCCAGCCTCAGTCCATGACCCACTGGGGAGGGGACCAGGCAGACGGAAAGGGAAGAATGGACCAGTCAGGAGCCCTGCCCACACTGTGCCACGGAGCCTGTCACCATCACAGGCTCCTTCTTGTGGTGGGCGTGTGGGCAGAGAGGGAGGGGGACAATCTTCCCGTTGTCATTTTATGCCACTTCTCGGCAAAGAGCAAATCTTTTTCCCTCCGTGATTTCATCAGATCCTCACAGCACCCCAGGAGTTAAGCGGGGCCGGGAGAGAGGTGACAGTCCGGGGGTCACCCAGCTATCAAGCTATGCCTAGGCTGTGTTCTGCCTGGCGCCCATTCTTGGACTTTTTCTTTAATACTCTGCTCCCTCTTTCGGTCCCGTGCATTTTGTGCTGCCCAGCTGCTCCCTAATTTAAGACTATTTCCCGGCCAGGGAGGGCTGTTTGTTTTGCTACAGCATGAGGACAGCTCCCGGCAGGCCTTGTCTAGTGTCACAAACTCATCTGGAGACTGTCTTTATTTTAAAGGCCTGGCTCTATGGTTTCTCTGTGTTTTATAGGCAGGAAAATAAAAATAGGGGTGATGAGTGATGAATGTCCCCTGGAGCCTGGCTGCAACTCCATCTCTCAGCTATTGCTCTAGTGGTCACTCCCCTCTGCACTGGCAGGGGCCACCCTGCCCCAGCGCACTGGCATTCCAGGAAGCAGGGCAGGCAGGACCCCTGCCCCAGGGGCACTGGAGCTGGCATCTGAGACCAGGACATGTGCTACCTCCTGGAGCCTGCTCTGGGCATTGTCTCGGAGTCCTGACCTCCACGGGGCCCTTATTCTGGTGGAGCTCCCCCCAGCAGTGGACCCTCATCATGGCCACTTGGAAACCGGGACCTTTTTGTCAATCCAGTGATGATACTGAGATAGATTCCATTAGACATTTCTTCTTCATTATAAATGTTCAAAGGATCGCAAAGTATCAGCTACACTTAAAAACTGAAATTTGAGGCTTCCCTGGTGGCGCAGTGGTTGGGGGTCCGCCTGCCGATGTGGGAGGCGCGGGTTCGTGCCCCGGTCCGGGGCGTACAGCAAAAAAATAAAAATAAACTGAAATTTTAATCCTGTGATAAACCATAATGGAAAGGAATTTTTAAAAGAACATATACATATGTATAGCTGAATCTCTTTGCTGTACAGCAGAAATTAACACAACATTGTAAATCAACTATACTTCAATTAAAAAAACTGTTAAAGAAACCCACAAAAACTATTTTTCTGTAAAAAGTCAGAATAATGTCTGTGAGTAATTAAGACCCTACTATGTGCCAATCGTTTTAAGTACTTTGGATTTTTAAATCCTCATCCTCTTTTTACAGATAAAGAAACCAAGGCCTCAAGATATTAGTAGACCCGCCCCATCAGCACAGCTAAGAAGCAGCCAC